ATTGAGGTATAAATGACATAAAACATTATATTAGTTCCAGGTGTACAACATGACTCCATATTAATATACATTGTGAAATGATCACCACAGTAAGTGTAGTTAACATCTGTCCTCACACTTACTTAGAAATTCTTCTTGTGATGAGTACTTTTAAGATTTGCTCTTTCAGCAATTTTCAAATATGCAAAACAGTATTATTAACTACAGTCACCATGCTGTACTTTACATCTCTATGACTTACTTACTTTATAACTGGAAGTTTGTGCCTCTGGACCCCCTTCACCCATTTTCTGCAGCCCCACCCCCCCTACCTATGGCAACGACCAATCTGTTCTCTGTACTACCTTGGTTTTGTTTTTAGATTCCACATATAAGCAAGATCATACCATATTTATCTTTCTCTGACTTATTTCACTTAGCACGGTCCATTCATGTTGTCACAAATGGCAAGATTTCACTCCTTTTAATGGCTGAGTAGCATTCGATGGTATCTATTGGGTTGGCCAAAAACTTCGTTTGGGTTTTTCCATAAGCTCTTATGGAAAAACCCGAATGAATTTTCTTGGCCACCCCAACAGACAGCACAACTTTATCCATTCACCCATTAATGGACACTTAGGTTGCTTCCATATCTTGGCTATTGTCAGTAATGCAGCAATGAACATGAGGGTGCACATATCTTATCAAGTGAGTGTTTTTGCTTTCTTCAAATAAATACTCAGAAGTGGAATTGCCAGATCAGATGGTAATTCTATTTTTAACTTTTTGAGGAACTTTAATACTATTTTCCATAGTGTCTGCACCAATTTACATTCTCATCAACAAAGCACAAGGGTTCCCTTTTCCCACATCCTCACCAACACTTTTCATTGCTTGTTTTTTTGATAATAGCCATTCTAACAGGTATGAGGTTATATCTCATGGCTTTGATTTGCATTACCCTGATGATTAGTGAGTTGAGCATCTTTTCGTGAACCTGTTGGCTAGTTGTATGTCTTGTTTGGAAAAAATGCCTATTCAGATCCTCTGTCCATTTTTGTTTGTTTGTTTTTTTCTCTATTGAGTTGTATGAGTTTTTTATATTATTTTAGATATTAACACCTTATATCAGATATACAAATTGCAATTACATAACTCTATTTCATAGGCTGGCTTTTCATTTAGTTGATGGTTTCCTGTGCTGCGCAGAAGCTTTTTAGTTTGATGTAGTCACATTTGTTTATTTTTGCTTTTGTTCCCTTTTGGGAATCAGAACCAAAAAAATCATCACCAAGACCAATGTCAAGAAGCTTACTGCTTATGTATTCTTCTAGGAGTTTTATGGTTTTAGGTCTTACATTCACATCTTTAATGCATTATGAGTTAATTTTTATTTATGGTGTAAGATAGTAGTCCATTTTCATTCTTTTGCATGTGGCTGTCCAGTTTTACCAGCATCATTTATTGAAAAGTTACCCTTTCCTCAACGTATATTCTTGGCTCCTTTGTCATAAATTAATTGATCACAGATATGTGGGTTTATTTCTGGGCTCTCTACCCTGTTCCACTAATTGATGTGTCTGTTTTTATGCCAGTACCATACTGTTTTGATTACTATTGCTTTGTAATATAGTTAGAAATCAGGGCTCATGATATCTCCAGCTTTGTTCTTCTTTCTCAAGATTGTTTTGGCTATTTGGGTCTCCCATGGTTCCACACAAATGTCAGAGTTTCTTGTTCTAGTTCTGTGAAAAATGTCATTGGTATTTTCAGAGAGACTGCATGGAATCTGTAGACTGCCTTAGGTAGGATATACATTTTAACAGCATTAATTATTCCAACCCATGAGGCACAGAATATCTTTCTGTTTATTTGTGTTTTTTTCAATTTCCTTCATCAATGCCTTATAGCTTTCAGTGAAGTCCTCAGTTAAATTTATTCCTAGGTATTTTGTCCTTTTTGAGTCAATTGTAAATGGTGTTGTCTTCTTAATTTCTCTTTCCTTATAGTTTGTTATTAGTGTATAAAAATGCAACAGATTTTAGTATGTTGACTTTGTATCCCGCAACTTTAATGAATTTGTTGATTAGTTCCAACAGTTTTTTGGGGGGAGTCTTTGGAGTTTTTGTACATATAATATCGTGTCTTCTGCAATACTGACAGTTTTACTATTGGGTCAATTAATAAATCAAAAGAGAAATTTAAAAGTACCTTGAGACAAATGGAAATAGAAATACAACATACCAGGGGGCTTCCCTCGTGGCTCAGTGGTTGGGAATTTGCCTGCCAATGCAGGGTACGTGGGTTCGTGCCCTGGTCCAGGGGGTATCCCACATGCCGCAGAGCAGCTAGGCCCATGTGCCACAGCTACTGAGCCTGTGCTCTAGAGCCCATGAGCCATGACTACTGGGCCCACGAGCCACAACTGCTGAAGCCCACATGCCTAGAGCCCATGCTCCGTGGTGGGAGAGGCCACCGTAGTGAGTAGCCTGCGCACCACAAGGAAGGGTAGCCCCCGCTCGCCGCAGCTGGACAAAGCCCGCACACAGCAACAAACACCCAATGCAGCCAAAAAAAAAAAAAAGAAAAGAAAAAAAAAAGAAATACAACATACCAAAATTTATGGGATGAAGCAAAAGCAGTTCTAAAAGAGAAAAGCATGGATGCCTACTTTAAGAAACAAGAAAAATCTCAAATAAACAACCTTTCTGTTTACACATCAAGAAATTAGGCAAAAAAAAACACCAAAACCCAAAGTTAGTAGAAGTAAAAAATAACAAAGAAGAGAGGAGAAATAAATGAAATAGAAACCAAAAGACAGCAGAAAAGATCAATTAAACTAAAGAGCTGATTCTTTGAAAAGACAAAATTGACAAACCTTTAGCTAGATTCACCATGAAAAAGAGAGAGAGCTCAAATAAATATTATCAGTTATGAAAAAGGAGATGTGACACATGATACCACAGAACTTTAAAGGATCATAAGAGACTAGCATGGATATTTTTATATGTTAACGAATTGGACAACCTAGAAGAAATGGATAAATTTCTAGAAACATACAACCTTCCAAGACAGAATCATGAACAAATAAGAAGTCTGAATAGAGCAATAAGTCCTAAGGAGATCAAATCAAAACCTCCCAACAAAAAAAAATCCAGGAATAGATGGCTTCACTGGTGAATTCTATCAAACATTTAAAAAGAATTAGTACCAATCCTTCTGAAACTCTTCCCAAAAAAATAGAAGAGGAGGAAACATTTGCAAACTTATTTTATGAGGCCAGCATTACCCTGACACCAAAACCAGACAAAGACGCCACAAGAAAAGAATATTTATCAGGCCAATATTCCTGATGAATATAGATGCAAAAATCCTCAACAAAATATTACCAAACCAAATTCACTACTATAATAAAAAGCTCAAACACCAAGATCTAGTGGAATTTGTTCCAAGGATGTTGCAGTTCAACATCCACAAATCAATCAACATGATACACCATGTTAACAAAATGAAGGATAAAAATCATATGATCACCTCAATAGATGCAGAAAAAGCATTTGACAAAATTCAACATCTATTTAATATAAAAGCTTTCTACAAAGTGGGAATAGAGGAAATGTATCTCAACATAATAAAGGCCATCTATGACAAGCCCACAGCTAATATACTACTCAACAGTGAAAAGCTGAAAGCTTTTCCTCTAAGATCAAGAAAAAGAGAAGGGGGGCTTCCCTGGTGGCACAGTGGTTTGAGAGTCCGCCTGCCGACGCAGGGGACGCGGGTTTGTGTCCCGGTCTGGGAGGATCCCACATGCCGCGGAGCGGCTGGGCCCGTGAGCCATGGCTGCTGAGCCTGCGCGTCCGGAGCCTGTGCTCCGCAACGGGAGAGGCCACAGCAGTTAGAGGCCCGCGCACCGTAAAAAAAAAAAAAAAAAAAAAAAGAAAAAGAAAAAGAGAAGGATGCTGACTTTGCCACTTTTATTCAACATAGTATTGGAAGTCCTAGCCAAAGCAATTAGGTAAGAAAAAGAAATAAAAAGCATCCCAATTGGAAGTGAATAGTTTTTCTTAATATTCTGATGGAATTCATGAACCATTCAGAATTATGTTTCAAGGAAAAACCTCAAAATGTAAAGGAGGAAAAAAAAAACAAAAACACTTCTAAAAGCCTGCCAAAGCAAACAGAAACATTTTCTAAGATATCATATAATTTATATGTTAGGATTTGGGATATAAATTGTTTGTGGTAGGCAGAATATTTACACATCCCTCCCACAAGGATGTCCATGCTCTAATCCCCCTAAACCTGAGAATATGTTATTTCATATGGTAAATGTAACATTACAGAGATGATTAAGGTTAAGATTAAGGGGAAATTATCCTCAATTGTCCAGATGCACCAAATCTAATTACCTTAGTTTTTTAGAGTGGAAGAAAAAGGTAGAAGAAATAGAGACATTACAGCATGAGAAGGATCTAACACCCCATAATGGTTCTGGGATATAAAAAAAAATTAGTGCAAGGACCTAGAGAGGCCTGTAGGAGCTAAGGCCAATCCTCACCTTATAGGCAGCAAGAAAACAGACTTAAACCATATAAAACTAAATTCTGCCAACACCTGAGTGAGCAAGAAAATAGATATTCCCCTACAGCCTCCAAAAAAGAAGTCCTATTGGCAGCTTGATTTTTTCACACTGAGACTTGTGTCAGACATCTGATATACAGAACTTTAATAAATCTGTGGTAAATTGTTACTGTATCAATAGGAAACTTATTCAGTATTTTAGTATTCAGTTAAGTAGACTTAAAATTAAACCATTTTCCTTACTGAGAAAAATTATCTTCATTTTCTCTCTAGTCTACACCTTAGATTCCAAAGTATAATATGAAAGTTGAAAACTAACACATTTCTTTGATAATATTTTACCATATGTACTGACTAAGCACCTAGAGAATTTATCTCCAGAAGGTAATCAAACAGTAAAATTAATTAATTTAGTTTTTTAAAGCAGAGATTCTTACCAAAATATTCTGGGCATTTTAAGCAGACCTCTTTCAAAAAGGCATTTACTTTCAAATCAAATGTTCTAAGCTCAATGACTGTGCCCAATCCCAAAACATTAATTTCTACCACAGGTAGTTCACAATCTCCAACAAGGTGACAGAATTGAATCAAAACCTGGAAAAGAAAGAAAAAAGAAACTACGACTACCTAAAACAAAAAAATTGTTTAAATTGATGGTGGCTATATATGGATATGTGAGGTATACGTGTGGTATAAATGACACATATTTAAATTTAGGAGAGATTTTATACACACACATATACAATACACACATTGTACAAATTATTTTCAATAAATATATACTGAATAACAACAATACATCTAAACTCTTAATTCTTTTTTTTAAGTGAAAGCAGATTTATTTAGAGAGATACACATTCCACAGGCAGAATGTGGTCCCTCTCAAAAGGTGAGGGTGGCCAAACCTTTAATTGTTGATTAAGGAAATTAATCTTCAAAGAAAGGGGAGGGAGAACCACAAAGTAACATCTGGATTGAGTTTAAATAGGATGAAAACAACACTGTTTATTAGTAATGAAACTATATAAATGAGCTGTGAATAGTAGAAATGACTGACAATTTAAATAAGCCATATTAATTTTACCATAGTACATACAATGCATACCTCTGGCACTTCAAATCTTATTTTATATTCAGTCATATTTTTTGAACAACCTGGCTTTTGAAGCTTTTCTTGTTGAGGACTTTTAACTCTAGACGGAGGTTGAAGAGGCTCTTCCAAGGGACTACATGGGGCATCAAAAAACTCCTCATCTGAATCTAAATACCATAGAACATTTAAGTCAATAATCAAAATGACTGATTTAATAATAACATTCTAATAATTTTTCTGAAATAAATATGAACACTAAAACACTATTTCAAAAAACTGAATGTAAGGTCAAAAATAAATAGAAAAGAATATAAAGATTACATGTGAAAAAATAACATTCTTAACAACAAAATGTATGGAAAATTACGAAATACAATCTTTAGCTTAATGAACATCATCTTTAAAATCACAATACTAAAAACTGCTAAAGAAAATTTCATAGCAAATGCCAATGCCAATTATTACATACATGATGAATACTCAAAGGAACACACTAATATGCTCACTCTACCTGGAAACAGGTAAGCAGGACTTAGTTACAAACACTGCAATATTAAAAGTAGAAGGCAGGCCCTAAAGTTTGAATGGAGAAACTAAGATCAAGCACTACTTCACGTATGTATGACTATATAGGAATATATATATGATAGTAAATTTCTACAACATGCTATTTAAATGGACCCAAAATCTAGTAAAACCATTAAAAGAAGGTTTAAAGGAAACTAAAATCATCTAAGTATATCCCTAAGAACATAAAATTGAATTTTAGGAGAGATGATCTCACAAACAACATTTCCTCCCCCTCCCCACCCACCCTGGTCACTACACAGAAAGGAAAACATTCTCTAGAAAACTGAGGATCAACATGGCAATTTCTGTTATTTAACATTTACAATCTTTAAAGTTTTAAAAATAGAAAAATACATATATTATTCTTTCTAATGCAGCTAAAAATGCATGTATTTCATAACAAAGTATTTACCAGTTTTCATAGGTTAATGTAGGTATTAAGGCTTGATTTTTTTTCCTTTAATAACAAAAAAGGAAGTGTAAAAAGTAAAAAAAAAAAAAAAAAATTACTATAATGAAGATCTCCAAAAGCTAAGTAACACATTATAAATTAGACACAAAGTTTCATGGGGTCTCTTAGATCACAAAGGATAAAGATGATTAATTTGCTAGTGGTCCCTGTGATTTTTATATACCAAAAAAAAATCCCACTGCAAAAGCAACTTTAAGGAACATCCAAATTATACTGTTTTAAAGGAATTTTAGTGAAATTTTGTGGATAATATGCAAATATCTGCTATTGCCTGAAAGTTTTTATGTGGTCTCAAAATAAATTTTTTTCATAATATATTTATAACAAGGAAAATTTCCTAAAGTAGTTTCATTTTACCATCTTCAACACATGGAATTTCCAAAGGAGAAAACTTTTTCTGTGAAATCTGTGATGTTCCCAAAGAAGTGGATCTTTGAATCTGGAAGAAAAGTTAATTCACTGTCAGTTAGCACACAGACTTTTATTATACGTTCTAAGACAATTCTGACCACACACACACACACACACACACAACCTCAATCTGAATTAACTGGAAAAAAATCCAGCCTGAATTAGAAAGTTAATTTGTAAAATGTAGATTTAAAGAAGTGCTTTTACAATTTCAAGGCTAAATATAAATTGCAGAACTGTTATAATCATTTCCTTGTTGACAGACTTTGCATAAGAAGAGATCTTAGATGTTACCTTAACATCTTACTAAATAAGGGAAGCCACCTCTAGGGCATCTATGAGAAACAACCAAAAGCCTCAAAATTTAAAGCCTCTGTAGTTGGGGAGCTTGCAGTTTCATTTTTAACTTTCTAAAGATATTTTAGTAAATTTACTTTTTTACTGTTCTGAAAAATATAGCATACAAAACACATATAATGCAGTTGAAAATCATAATAATAAAAGACATCCCTGAATCTTCCATCCAGGCCAAGAAACAAAATAGTACCATACCCTTACCTAGAAGCATCTTATGTGCTCCTTGATCATATTCCCTAAAATTGATTTACTTTTATTATATTTACTTGTTTTTAACCGCCTATGACTGATTCTCTAAGTAATACATTGTTTAACGTGTTCCTTTCCAAACTTAGAAAAAAGCAATAACACTGCAAACATTTTCCTGTGTTCTTCTTCAACAAAATATTCTTTAAATTTTATCCATATTGATAGTTTACTCATTCTCACTGCTATACATTGATGAATAAACCACTACTTATTTGTCCATTACACTGTTGGTAAATATCTGTGTTGTTTACAGATTTTTGCTTTTATTCACATTGCCACGATAGGAATCCTTGAACATAGGTGCTAAAATGCAAGATTTTCTATGGTGTATATATCAAAGAGTGGAATTTCATATATTCACCTAGTAAGTACTACAAACATGTTTTCACAAGTGTTTACAAGGCATTACATAATATCAGCAGTAAATCAGAGTTTGTATGGCTCCATTTCCTCATTAATACTTAGTGCTTTCAGATGTTTTAAATGTTGCCAATCTCACTGGCATTTTCACCCTAGTTTTAATTAGAATTTCACAAACACATAATAGTTACATATCATGTCATAGGTTCATGGGTTGTGTTTGTCCTTCTCTGAATCCTATTCATTTGGGAGGAACATTTTTATTGAAATATAACCTACTACATCTGAGTACAGAACTGTAAGTATAAATAAAACTAAATTTCAAAAAGAAAACACACCCATGCACCCAAAATCCAGATCCAGGAACAGAACATTACCAGCAACTCAGAAGCCTCCCTCATGCTCCTCAATCACCAGGCACACCTCCAAAAACTAACAACTATGCTGCCCCAATTTCAATTTTTAATGTTCTGAAAGATTTACAATGACATTTATTAAAAAATGATTTTGTTTTGTACCTTCCTGATGAGTAATAAAATTGAACACCTTCTCATACGTCTGTTTGCCCATTTCTTATTGGATTCTTGGTCTCCTTGTATATTTTGGATAAAGTCTTCTGTAAGTTTTATGTGTTCCAAGTATTTTTCCCAGTTGGATGGTGAACCTTTTTCATTATTAACAATGTCTTTCAAAAGGCAGAAATTTTTAATTTCCGTGAAGTGTAATTTATTTTTTTTCTTCTGTACTTGTGCTTTTTTAGCCCAAGATGTCTTTACCCACCACAAGAGTTCAAAGATTTTCTCCTATGTTTTTTATTAAAGAAACTTTACACCTTTGGCCATTTACATTTAAGTCTATGTTCCATTTTAAGTTAAATTCCATGTATGATATATGGTACAGATTGATGTTGACTTTTTCCCCACATGGAAATCTAATTATTTTAGAACTATTGTTGAAAAGACTATCCTACCCCCACTTAGTTGCACTGGCACCTTTGTAAGAAATAACGTACATATTAATCATATATTATATTGTGAATTTATTTCTGGATTCTGTTCTACTTCAGTTATTTTATGTCTCTTCTTATGCCAATACAACACTTTCTTGAATAAAGTAGCTATAAAATAAGGCTTGAAATCAAGAATTAGAAATCCTCCAATGTTATTCTTATCCAAATTTTTTTTGTCTAATATATGCCCTTTGCATTTCCATATATACATTATAATAAGCTTGTTAACTTCCAGAAGAAAAATTAGGTATTTTGATTGGGGTTGTGAGAAATCTATACAGTTTTGAGAGAACTGTCATTTTAATACAGTCAGTCCTCCAATCCTTAACTATGTATATCACTCTACTTACTTAGGTCATGATCAATTATTTTCAGAAATGTTCTGTAGTTTTAGATATAAATGACTTGTATTGCTTTTGTTAAATTTTTCCTAAGTGTTTAACTGTTTTTAATGCTATTATGAATGGAACACTTTTCTTAATTTCATTTTTAGGAACAGCTTATTATTTACATTGATGACATAACCTGCAACCTTGACAAATTCACTACACTAGTGGTATTTTTCTACATTCCTTAGGACTTTCTGCATAAATGATCATGTCACCTGCAAATAAAGATAGTTTTACTTTTTCATTTCCATCCTGCCTTTATTTTTCTTGAGTTACTGCAGAAGCTAGAACCTTCAGTATGAATTTGAATAGAAGTAGTTAAAAAAAAAAAAGGCATTCTTGCACTATTATTTGATATTACAGGGAAAGCATTCAGTCTTTTTCAAATTAAACATGATATTAGCTATGGGTTTTTCCTAGATTGATGGGGCTTCCTTATATTCCCAGTTTGTTAGGAGTTTTATTATGAAAGGTTGTTGGATTTTGTCAATCGTTTTTCCTTTTCTATTGAGATAATCACACATTTGTTAGCCTTTATTCAATGAAATGTGCTTAATAACATTGATTGGTGAACCATTTTTGCTGCCCTGGGATAAATGCATTTGGTATTTTAGTATATTATGTTTTTAAAATATCATACTATTTGACTGTAATATTTGCTAAGTATTTTAGCATGTATGTTAATGAATATATAGGTCTGTATTTTCTCATAATTTGTCTATCTGGTTACAACAGCAGAATAACACATGCAAAGAAATGAAGTATGGCCCATGCACACAGTAAATTAGTAGAAATAATTCAGGAATAAGCACACACATTAGACTTACTGCAAAAAAAAAAAAAAAACAACCAGAAACTTTAAATAAACTGTCTTAAATGTGCTCAGAGAGATAAAAAGAACTGCTGAGAAAGAGCTAAAGGAAACCAGGCAAATAACATCACAACAAATGGAAAATATCAATAAAGAGGTAGAAATTATAAAAAGAAATCAAACAAATTCCAGACCTGAAAAGTAAAATAACTGAAAGAAAAATTCATTAGAGAATTTCAGTAGCAGAGTTGAGCTAGCAGAACAATCAGTGAACATGAAGACAGATCAATCAAAATTATTTAAAAAAAAAAAAAAGATAAAAGTGAACACAACCTAAGGGACCTGTGGGACAGCACAAAGTGAGTCAATATATGCATTATGTGAATCCCAGCAAAAGACAAGAAAGAGAAAGGGCCAAAAAGGCTATTTGAAAAAAACAGCCAAAAATGTCCCCAAATTTGATGAAAGACATGAATCTAAAAAATCCAAATTCAATGAACTCAAAGTAACATACACTCAAAGAGATCTCAACGCCAAAACATATTATAATCAAACAGTTGAAAGATAAGAGTAAGAAAAATGAAAGCAAGAGAAGCAAGTTGCCACATATTAGGACTCATCAATAAATTAACAGCTAACTGCTCAGCAGAAACCATGAAGGTCAAAAGGTAATGCAAAGTCATATTTAACATGCTGAAAGAAAAGTCAACCAAGATTTGTATGTCTGGTAAAACTGTCCTTCATAATGAAAGAAAAATTAAGATATTTCCAGACAAACAAAAGCAGAAGGAGTGTGTCACCGCTATACTTGCCCAACAAGAAATGCCAGAGTCCTTTAGGTTGAAGGAAAAGAACACTAGATAGTAACTCAAAGCTATATAAAGGAAAAGAAATCTTCAGTAAAGATAAATACGTGGGTAAATAAATGAGGTATTGTATTTTTAGTTCAAAACCACTCTTTTCATTTGCTGTACACCTTAAAGAAAACCATATAAAAATAATCATAATGACATTACTGAGCACACAATGTACAAGATGCAACTTGTGACAAAACCACCTTAATGGGGGGAGTACAGAGCTGTACTAGAAAAGAGTTTTGTTTTTTTTTTAAATTTTTGTTTGTTTCCTGTTTTGTTTTATTGATGTGGACCAATTTTTTAGTCTTTACTGAATTTGTTACAATGTTGCTTCTGTTTTACGTTTTGGTTTTTTGGCCACAAGGCATGTGAGATCTTAGCTCCCCGACCAGGGATCAAACCTGCACCCCTTGCATTGGAAGGCCAAGTCTTAACCACTGGACTGCCAGAGAAGTCCCAGAAAAGAGTTTTTGTGTGCTACTAAGGTTAAGTTGGTATCAATCCGAAACACAATTTTATAAATCTAGATTGTTAAATGTAACTGACACAGTAACCATAAAAAATATATATCTAAAAGCATATACTGGGACTTCCCTGGTGGTCCAGTGGTTAAGACTTTGCCTTCCAAATGCAGGGGGTGTGGGTTCGACCCCTGGTCAGGGAGCTAAGATCCCACATGCCTTGTGGCCAAAAAACCAAAACATAAAACAGAAGCAATACTGTAACAAATTCAATAAAGACTTTAAAAAATGGTCCACATCAAAAAAAAAAAAAACTTAAAAAAATAAAGGGAAATAAAAGTATATACAAAGAAATTAGAAAGGATCCAAAATGATTCACTCCAAAAAAATCAACTAAGCAATAAGAAAGGTATTAATAGAGAAAATGTAAAAGTATAAGATACACAGAAAATAAATAGAAAAATGGCAGAAGTATGCCTTTCATAATCAGTAATTACTTTAAATGTCAATGGACTGAACCATCCAATCAAAAGGC